CATAAAATCGGACGAAAATATATATGGGAGCTATATCTAAATCTGAACCGATTTTCATGAAACTCAACTCACATCTTTCAAGACTTAATTAAGTACGCTATGCCAAATTTCGTGCATATCGAAGAATATATAGGAACTTTGGGGCACCATTCACATAAAATCGGACGAAAATATATATGGGAGCTATATCTAAATCTTAACCGATTTTCACAAAATTTAACACACAACGTTCTAGACTTAATTCAGTATGCTTTGCCAAATTTCGTGCATATCGAAGGATATATAGGGACTTTGGTGCACCACTTACATAAAATCGGACGAATATTTATACGGGAGCTACATCTAAATCATAACCGATTTTCACAAAATTTAACACACATCGTTCTAGACTTAATTCAGTACGCTATGCCAAATTTCATGCAAATCGAAAGATATATATGGACTTTGGTGCACCATTTACATAAAATCGGGCGAAAATATATATGGGAGCTATATCTAAATCTGAACCGATTTTCTCAAAATTCAACACACATCGTTCTAGACTTAATTCAGTACGCTATGCCAAATGTCTTGCATATCGAAGGATATTTAGGGACTTTTGTGCACCATTTACACAAAATGGGATAAAAATATATATGGGAGCTATATCTAAATCTGAACCGATTTTCACAAAACTTAGCAAACAGCGTTCTAGACTTAATTAAGTACGCTATGCCAAATTTCGTGCAAATCGAAGGATATATTGGGACTTTGGTGTACCATTTACCTTAAATCGGACGAAAATATATATGGGAGCTATATCTAAATCTGAACCGATTTTTTCCAATTTCTATAGGGTTCGTCCTTGGGCCAAATAAATGAGCTGTGCCAAATTTCATCCAATTCGAATAATAAATGCGACAGACAGTCAGACGGACGGACGGACATGCATATATCGACTCAGAAAGTGATTCTATGCATATTCTCTGACCATGTGTTTATCTCGTTTCCTTTTGCTGTTACAAACATATGCACAAACCATAATACCCTGTACCACAGTGTGGTGAGGGGTATAAAAATATTTAAACTTTTGCTTTAGTATTTTTTGGTCTTTAACGTATCTCCTTTTTGCAAACATAAGAAACCATTACAAATTGCTTATACCATCCCAGATTTGTTGCGGTAAGAATATTTAGGATCCCAAACATACATAGACATATTTTATTGTGGTTTTTATATCAAAATTTATGTGTGGTGTTTTCTTGCCTTTCTTTAGATATTTTTCCCTTCAGTTTAAAACCACACCACACAGTTGTTGCCTGTCACCGTCCATGAAATATCGAAAGAAACCAAAAAATTATTATTGTGCTGTTTTTGGATACGAAATTTCGTGTACCTTTCTGACTTTTTAGTTTTTGGTGTACACCCTATAACCTTACGTGTTACATGATAACTAGTTAAAAAAATATTTTTCTGTAGAAAACAAATATCCTCTGAGGACTCATTTTCTAATAAAATATATATATATTTTTTTTTTTTAGAGCAAATACTCTGAGGACTATTTTCTTTTTCTTAAAAAAAATTCCTCAGTACCCTGAATACTGTTTTTTCTTTAGAAAAATATCCTCAATACTTTGAGGACTGTTTTTTATAGAAAAAATTTACTCAGTTCACATTCCAAATTTCACTGTTCAGTGAGGACTCTTTCTTCTATAGAAAAAAATCCTCAGTACTCTTAGGACTCTTTCTCTATAGAAAAAATGTCTCAGTAATCTAAGGACTCTTTTTTCTATAGAAAAATATCTTCAGTACTCTGAGGACTCTTTTTTATAGTAGGAAATATAGAAAAAAATTTCAGTACTCTGAGGACTCTTTTTTATAGTAGAAAATCTTTCACTGAGGACTCTTATTTGTAAAGAAAAATCCTCAGTTCACTGAAGACTCTTTCTTCTATACAAAAAATCCTCACTTCACTGGGGACTATTTTTTTCTATAATAAAAATTCTTCAGTAGTTTATATGTGCCTTGTAGGGTATCAAACGGCCAACCCTTTAGCAATTGTATTTGCTTTATTTTTAGTATCGTTTCTTATTTGTTTCGTTTATTTTGGTTTTCTTTTTTCTCTTTTGGATTTCCAAGCTAACTGCCCAACAAGAAGGCGTAATTTTTCTGTGGTAACATTTACTTCCGGCCGTTGTCCGCCTCGAGGATTTTTTTTTTGTTTGTGTATGGCGGCATGTTGTTGTGGTCTGCAAAGAAATTCATATACTTCCACTCCATATGACAGTATGTGGTAAAGGTCCTATTAGTTGGTGTTTTCTTTAGTAAGCCACACAGTATGTGGCTTCTTATGGAGTCGTTTTCACTGTTGTTGTTGCTGCTGCTATTTTAGCTTCGGATGGTCAGTGCCGGACAAACATGTGCATATGATGTAGTATAATATGTCACTGACAGGATTTGAATTTTTTTGCGGACAGTATTTTATAATGTTTGGAGTTTGTGGGTTGTGATGTTAATAGTTGTGGTTTTTCTAGTTTTGAAGTTTTGTTTTACTTATTTTTTTTTTAGGAAAACTTTATAACTTAATAAAAATAAGTAGTTAAAGTTAAATATTATTTTGGGGGTATTTATTGTGTATTCTGGAGATAGGAACATATTTAAGATTAGGTTTGTTAATCATTCTGAAGATTATGAGAAAAAATTCCTTAGATCTCTTTTTTTATAGGAAAAAATCTTCACTTGCCTGAGTACTCTTTTTTCTATAGGAAAAAAACCTTGCAAATATTTATTTCAGCCAAAAAATCGCTGTAGGAAAAACATCATTAATCGGAGAACATTCTTCCTACAGAAAAAATGTATCAGTTTTGCGAGATTTTTTTCTATAGAAACAAACTCTTCTCTTTCTATAAAAAATCCTCTGCTCCTTGAGGACCTTTTTTTCTATAGAGAAAAAATCTTCATTACTCTGAGGACTTCTATTTGTTTCTATTTTTCTTCGTCAGTACTCTGAGGACTATTTTTTCTATAAACAAGAATCCTCAGTACTTTTATCCTATAGAAACAAATCCTGAGTACTCTGAGGACTCCTTTTTGTATAGAAAAAAAAACCTCAGTACTCCGAGAACTGCTCAGTTTAAATTGCTCAGTTCCCTGAGGACTCTTTTTTCTATAGAAACAAATCTCAGTTCCTTGAGACCTCTCTTTTCCTCAGTTCCCTGAGGACTCCTATTGATATAAAAAAATGTCTCAGTTCCCTGAGGACAATTTTTTCCATATTAAACCTGTGAGCGGAGCAGTATAGTCGGACGGGGCCGACCATATAATACCCTACACAATTACCACGAAAACCTAACTGTGCGTTTTTTGCAACCCTCTTGAAACCTGACTAAAGGTGAACAAATGTAACTAATATTCAAAAGACGAGGGCTGTAATTGTACAGATTCTCTTTACCGTGAGTTATGTTGTGATGCTGGGCTCTCAATTGTGGCTTATAGATCGACTAGAAAAAAAGTAAAAAAATAAAAATAAAACAAAAAAAAAAGAAAATGTAAAGTTTTCGTTCCACTTCATCCCAAAATTATTATCTGATCATCACCGAAAGTTATAGGCGTTGTCCTTGATCATAACTGGAATCTCATGGAAATTTTCAAAGCGATCAGCGCCCTCTAATGTGGTTTTGGGTTACTAAATAATGTCAGAATACGTAAGCACCTGTAAATATTTAAGTGTAGCTCCCACATCTGAGTACATACGACCATATAATTGGTATCAATTAAAAGGTCAACCACTCCTCTTGAACATACTTTTTTTGGGTCTAGGTCCTTCAGGGGCAAATTTATACGCCATAGAATACAATTTTTTTTTTTAATTTTTCACACAAAAGTCAGGGTCCATTTGACCCGCTAAATATTGACTGATCTTTATCAAAACAGACATGCTTACTCTTTGGCCCGATCCCCTTCTCCATGGAAAAATTCGCGGTGTTTGGGCCAAAATTGCGGCCTCTGGAGCGACCAGAAAATCAGACAAAAATAAAGTTTTTGGTCCATTTCATCCCCTAAATATTAACCGATCTTTTCCAAAAACAATAGGGGTCTTCATTGGCCAGAACCCATTCTACATGCAAAACTTTGTGAACTGTGGCCTGTATCGTGTTTACAAATTATAATGGACACACATGTCTAGATCGACTCAGCTAGTCGAGATATGACCATCGGTATACTTAAAGGTGGGTCTAAAGTCTTTCGTCCTTGGGCCAAATAAATGAGCTGTACCAAATTTCATCCAAATCGGATTATAAATGCGATCTGTAATTTGTTTACAATTTACGGAGGAACGGATGGACATGCATAAATCGACTCAGAAAGTGATTCTATGCATATTCCCAAAAGGATCCATGTGTCTATCTCGATTCCTTTTGCCAGCTCAGCTAGTCGAGATATGACCATCGGTATACTTAAAGGTGGGTCTAAAGTCGTTCGTCCTTGGGCCAAATAAATGAGCTGTACCAAATTTCATCCAAATCGGATTATAAATGCGATCTGTAATTTGTTTACAATTTACGGAGGAACGGATGGACATGCATAAATCGACTCAGAAAGTGATTCTATGCATATTCCCAAAAGGATCCATGTGTCTATCTCGATTCCTTTTGCCTGTTACAAACATATGCACAAAGACATAATACCCTATACCACGGTGTGGTGACGGGTATAAAAACAAAATACAAATAAAATAAAAAACATCCTTAATTCAATATAGAAAACTTAGAAAAAATTCTCCGTTCTGACGGTTCTTTTTGATTGAGAAAATTTCTCAGTTCGCTGCTGACTCCTTTCTTAGATTGAAAGAAATACCTCAGATTCCAGGTCACCCTTTTTTTATAGAAAAAACTCGATTTTCTAAGCAAATGGGCCTTTTAAGGCCTTTTTCTTAACATCTGGATTTATATATTGCTTATTTATTTTCTTTAATTTATTCTAGGGTAATTAGTTTATAAGAAATGTGTACATTAAAAAAATCATGCTTTACATGCAGCCAATTTCCTCAAGGCCACACGATCCACCTTGCCACATGTTGTCAATGGTATTGAGTCCACGAAATAAATTTTCTCAATCATTGCCAATTGTCTCTCATTGAGATGGGGTTTTATGGCATCCATAATTTTCGCCGAAATTTCATTCTGGCTAGCAGTGACATTTGAATTGAGAACAACGAAAAAAGCTGCAACTTCATTGGGATCATTTGGTGTCTTGCAATAACCAGCCATGCGGGCAACATAAATCTCGGGTATATTAATTGCGATATATTCCAAAGCATTGGGTATGATCTGGAAAAAATATACAAAATGTTTATTAAAATTCCCAAAAATATATTTTATTACAAATACTCACCACTTCACCATTGTTTTTAATTAAATCCTTATATCTAGCCAAAACATGCAATCTTCCCCGTTCATCGATCAACCCATAGTCACCATTAACGAAAAGTCCCTGCTCATTGTAATACACCGAATTATCTAGCGATTTATAACCCTTTAATGGGTATGGTGGTCTCAAAGCAATTTGCCCCGGTTGATTAGCAACCAATGGCCGACATTGATCATCCAATATTTGTACCTCATAACCGGGTAATGGTTTGCCACCATTTATATATATATCATTAGTGATCACCGTACTCATCTCGGTCATACCATAACAATGGAAATTCTTTGCATTCACTGCATGTTTCTTGGATAATTCCAAGATGACTTTTGATGCCGGCTCTCCTCCCAGTTGTATACTGCGAATACTCTTTAAACTTTCCTTATCGTTTTCATCCAATTGTAATAGAATTTCATGGTAGATCGAGGGTGCCACAAATAAATGTGTAATGCCACTACTGCGTAGAACTGCAAAACCATATTCTCCAGTGGGCGCACCACACGAACTTACGCGCTTTATGCCAAATAACATTGATTGTAACATTACAGCTACTTGACTTATCCATCGCAGGGGACTGAAAGAGAAGACCACCGAATTTTCATCCAAGGGGGCGTAATTTTCATCATTATCCCACCAAATGGTAATGCCATGTAACATTAGGGCATGGGTGATTTGTACAATTTTTGGTAGCCCTGTTGAACCGGATGTCAAGGCTAAGATGGCTATTTCATCGCGGGTGTCTTTGATTTCTACACTTTTAAAGTTATCGAAATCTATGGGGTGTTCTGGTTGTTTTAGTAAATCATTTTTGACATTTGGTTGCTGTTCACCATTGATGACTATTAACTGTGGGTAATTTTTATGTTTGGAGTTGGCTAGACATCCTTGAATTTTCTTGAGATATTTTTCTTCATAGAAAATTGCTGAGGCTTCGAGGAGATCAAATAAACCAGTTGTCGATTCTGTAAGTAAAGGAAGGAAATCAGACATTAAATATGAACGAGTGATGAGATTTTTTATGGAAGAACAGACACTTTTCTATAGATACAATTCATCATTTCCTTGACCGCCACCAAACCTTTAGAGGGCCCCTATTTTCTACAGGCATACGCTCTGGTGTTTCTATAAAAATCCATCTTCATAAGGGCACAAAATGTGTTCTTAGACCCGACCGAAGTTTTAATAATTTCCAACATGTGGTGTAAATCAAAATTTCTTTAAAACAAATCGGGACAACGTAATGTTAAATTGTCTGACAATTAAGTACCAAATTAATAACATTAAGATCAGAAACTAGGAACTTTAATTTACAAACATTGACTTACATAGCAAATTTCTTTACTACGAACCAGGAATAAAAAATTACAGCCTTCGCATGGAAAATGTCTCTAAATCCTCAAAGCTAAATTTGTATATCTTATTAAGTGTATTAAGAGGTCGAGTAGTTCACATAGTAAGCAGTATTATTATTATTGAAAAATCCACCGAAATTGGAAAAGCCTAAAACCAGTTTTAAACAAAAACCTTAGCTGATAATTCAAACCTGGCTAGGGATTTCCTTCTAATCTACAGATTAGTGGTTTTTCTTTACTTTTACTTTTTTTAACGTGCAGGGACGGGCGATGCCTTTCCTTTATGCTATGACAGGGATACTGCATCGATAACATTTGGTTGTGCCGATGAACGGATATGATCATTGTCTACTCACTGGTATCATGATGAGACACTCCTTAGACACTTCTTAGAACGGCATTCTGCCAGGTTAGAATATTCTTCCTCTGGGAATCATTGATAGGCCATGTAGACTGAGAGGTCTGAAACGAAATAGACCCATACCTTTGAGAGAGGTCCATAATGCTATTACTGGGGTGTTCGCAACACGTTTCGGTTAAGGCATTGGTATTCCACAATATAGGTATTTGAGTCCGGTATATTGGGTGAATTTTCTGTAATTTTTTTTTGTTCTCACTTGGTAGCAAATCTCCTTACCAAAAAGTGTCAATATTGACCCATGTAACTCCTACAAGTAGCTCCCTTTATTCGATATATTTGTGATTTTAGGCACGTTCTTCAATCTTTTTGGTTTCTATTACATATTAATGCTTTTAATTGGGTAACTAGTGTTAGGCATACTAGTTACCCAATTGAAAGCATCAGAAGCTATAAATATTGGGAGCTGGGATATACTTTCAAACGAAATTGGCTTTAATTATACCCTTCACCATACTATGTCTTCGTGCATATTGTTGTAACAGGCCAAAGGAAACGAGATTGACCCATAGTTCCTTTTGAGAATATGCATAGAATCACTTTCTGAGTCGATTTATGCATGTCCGTCCGTCCGTCTGTCCGTCTGTAGGTGTTAAATTGTAAACAAAGTACAGGTTGCCTTTATAATCCGATTGGATGAAATTTGGCACAAGTCACTTATTTGGCCCAAGGACGAACCCTATTGAAATTGGGAGAAATCGGTTTAGATTTATATATAGCTCCAATATATATTTTCGTCCGACATAAGGTAAATGATGGACCAAAGACCATATATATCAGTCGATTTGCACGAAATTTGGTATAACATACTGAATTGAGCCTAGAATGATGTCTGCCAAGTTTCAAGAAAATCGGTTCAGATTTAGATATAGCTCCCATATATAGTTTCGTCCGATTTCATGTAAATGGTGGACCAAAAACCCTATATATGTTTCGATTTTCACGAAATGTGGCATAACGTACTGAACTGAGCCTAGAATGATGTCTGCCAAGTTTCGTGAAAATCGGTCCAGATTTAGATATATCTCCCATATATTGTTTCGTCCGATTTCATGTAAATGGTGCACCAAAGTCCCTATATATCTTTCGATTTGCACGAAATTTTACGCATCGTAATGAATAAGGTCTAGCATGATGTGTGTTCAGTTTCTTGAAAATCGGTTCAGATTTAGACATAGCTCCCATATATATTTTCGCCCGATTTATTGTTAATATCTAATATCTTTCGATTTGCGCGAAATTTGGCAGAACGTACTGAATTGAGCTTACAGTGATGTCTGCCAAGTTTCAAGAAAATCCGTTCAGATTTAGATATAGCTCCCATATATATTTTCGTCCGATTTAAGGTAAATGGGGCACCAATGTTCCTAAATATCTTTCGATTTGCACGAAATTTGGCACAGCGTACTGAATTAAGCCTAGAATAATGTGTGCTAAGTTTCGTGATAATCGGTTCAGATTTAGATATAGCTCACATATATATTTTCGTCCGATTTAAGGTAAATGGTGCATCAAAGTCCCTAAATATCTTTCGATTTGCACGAAATTTGGTATAGCTTACTGAATAAAGTCTAGAATGGTGTGTTTTAAGTTTCGTGAAAATCGGTTAAGATTTATATATAGCTCCCATATATATTTTCATCCGATTTAAGGAAAATGGTGTACCAAAGTCCCTATATATCTTTCGATTTCCACGAAATTTGGTACAGCGTACTGAATAAAGTCTACAATGATGTGTGTTAAGTTTCGTAAAAATCGGTTCAGATTTAGATATAGCTCCTATATTTTTAAGTGATAATTTATACTCTTTCGAGTCGAGCTTGATGATCTAAGTTTTGCAATGAAAAGGAAAGCCAGGAGAAGAACCTACGTACCCACCATTATGCGACGCGTTTCGCCGTTGGTTAAGCGGCTCATCAGGCATATTGGGCTATGTGGCTTTACAAAGGTCGTACGGTGATAACTTGTATTTATTCCGCCCTTATGCGAAACTTGCATATGCGAATTAAATTCAAATTTGTCAAAGCTCCTATATATATTTTCGTTCGATTTTAGATAAATAGTGCATTAGGGTCCCTATTTATCTTTCGATTTGCACGAAATTTTGCATATCGTACTGAATGAAGTATAGAATGAAGTGTGTTATGTTTCCTGAAAATCGCTCCAGATTTAGATATAGCTCCCATATATTTTTTCGTCCACATATATCTTTTGAAATGAACTTAGTATAACCTATAGGTTAGATATAAATGCTGCACCGAATTCCCCAGGTGGGTCCGATTAGCACAAAATTTTGCACAATTTAGTGAAGTTATTAAGAGATAACGTGTGGCAAGTTTTGTTGAAAATGGTTCAGATTTAGATATAGTTCCTATATATAGTTTCGTCAGATTTTAAATAAAATGTGCACAAAAGATCCAAAGTTAAATAGTTTATACAACCTAACATGTGGAAAGTTTTATTTAATCGGTTCAAATTGTAATAGAGCTACCATACATATTTTCTCCCGATTTTAACTAAATGATGCACCAAGAACTCAAAATATGGCCGATATTCTGTGACAAGTTTCGATGAAATCGGCTTAGATTTCGATAAAGCTTTTATACATATTTTAGTAGTCCCATTGAAAAGAATCAACTCTAAATCTGACCAAATTAAACATTTAGTATAGGTTGCAGAAAAACATATTTATGGTTCCAATTTCATTTTACTGGTCCTTCAAAAATGTGACGTCTGTTAAGATTCATCTGTTGAATATACCCAAAGTGGTGAAGGGTATCATATAGTCGGCCCCGTCCGACTTTACTACTTTCCTTACTGTTTTTTTTCTTTTGGTCACAGAAGTTACATTTTTTTAATACATATAAGAACTATAATTTAAAACGATTAAAATCACATATTACACGTTCTTATGTTCATGTTATATAGTCTGGATTATAATTATTTAATATATATCCTAGTGACTGTGCAAGTATTTCCCCCAAATTTTTAGCAATGTCATGTTCCGAGCAATATACATCTTTTGTTTACTGAATGGCATATACAAATTCACAAACAATGTTTATCTTTTAATGTTTCTTTATAAATAAAACAACTAAAATGTTATCACTGCATTATTCTATTTGAATTATATTAATCTGCCTTAAAGTGGTGTGTTATCTTATCGCACAAGTAATTTTAAACTGTACCTACTGTTTCGATTTTTGTTAAAGCATTTATTTATTATTATTGTGTTTTTTTTTTTTTTGAGTTAAATGTCACTTACCCTCATCCAAATGTACCTCACAATAGTTCGGTAAGGCACCAATTAAAATGCAACCCAGCGACAGCACAGCTACCCATTCGTTATTCATTGAATAGAAAATGACACAGTCTCCCTTCTTGATGCCCAAACGTTGCAAATTAATGGCAATTAATATCGATTGTTCGTAGACATCTTTGGCTGTTTTTGTTGTATTTGTATCATAGAAATGATCAATAATTTTATTTGGATCCACGGAACGCATTGTTTGCAGGAATTTCTCGCCAATTGACAATTTCGCAATATCGCCATATGGATAATTTACAGATTTCCATATTTTCGTTTGGGGATCTTGTACCACTTTAATATATTCTTCAGGCATTATTTTCAAATTTTTATTTTATTAATAAATTTTATTTCAATTTACACTTTTGTTCCGTCTTTATTAAAAAACACCCGCCGTTTGTGTCCACCTTGTTCCGCTTCGCATGAAACTACTATCGATACTAATGTCAACTGCCGGACTGCTCAGTTGTTATAAACTTGCTGTCTACATGCATTTGAATTAGTGAACAAAAGAGAGCATATCGCAAAAAAATAAACTGGCGATCTTATCTCTACAACATTAGCAGAATCTTAGAAACGGTATTTTTTTCAATAGAAATTATTATCAACAAAGATGAGGTTTGTAAAGTAATAATAGTGTATCCCTTATCAGTGCATACTAAAGCCTAAGAAAATAGGCCAAAACTGTGAAGAAATTTTAAGATATCAAAGGGAAGTGGTTTAGCTCGTTCCTCTAAACATATACAGTGGTGGTCAAAACATTTGTAACTGAAATTGAATATGAGGATTATTTTTTCCTATGGAAAAAATCTTCAGATCACTAAGGACTCTTTTTTCTTTGGAAAAAAACCTCAGTTTACAGAGAACTTTTTTTCTAGAGAAAAACTCCTCAGTTTACTTTTTTTTTCTATAGAAAAAAATTCTCAGTTTACTACTGCTTTTATATAATACTGCTACAATTTATTATTATTTTTTTAATTTATGCAAATTTTATTGCGATTTTCTTATTTTGAAGTGTTGTAACATACCTGCGTCTACGTGTCATAATCGCAGTATGTAAATATTCAAAAAAAACCTTTTTCACTGGCGATCGTATTACTGCCCGCAAACAATAGAATAATCACATCTGCATGTCTTTGAAACATACGAACGAATCTTCTTATTGTTGTAGAAATCGTTATCAACAAAGATTAAGATTTTAGTTGACAGGGTGTTCCACTACGGAATAACGACTTTTTCAAATAATTTTTAGTATATGGGTATAAAAACCATTTATGGCTCTCAATTAAATTGAAAACCTCATTCTTTGACTTCCAATTTAGTTAATATCATTCCGGCGATATTTCAATTAAATTTTTCAAACATATATTTTCGTTCTCATTTGTAAAACTAACAACACCCTGTTTAATTTCCTTCATTCCGTTATAGCGAGCCTATGACATTGACAAGTAGGTGAATGTATTGTCCAATATTAGTTTTTCTCTAATTTTTATTGCTGGTACAACTCTCTCCCTCTCTTAAAATATTGTTAGGGATTTTCTCTTTTTGGAAAATTTGCATACATTCGAAATGACACAAAATGGATTGATTAAGATAGCTTTATATATGAATATATAATTAATTTCGTCATATTTCATGTCAATGGTCCTCGAAAGATCCTATGCTTGTTCTATCGATGTAGATTGCAAATAAAAAACAAAAACCAGTAAAGAAAGTTGTAAAGTCGGACAGGGCCGACTTTATGATACCCTTCACCACTTTGGGTGTACTCAACAGGACCATTGATTCGTTTTGTGTCAACCAGTGCAACATTTACCTAAACTTCAACGAACATACAAATGGGAGCTATACCTAAATCTGAATCGACTTCAACAAAATTATGTCAATCGTACAAACTTTTCGTCCTTAGTGCACACTTTACACAAAATCGAAGGAAAATATGTATAGGAGCTATATATGTAAATCTAAACCGATTTTCACGAAACTAAATACACAGCATTCTAGACTTAATTCCGTACGCTGTGCCATACAAATGGGAGCTATACCTAAATCTGAATCGACTTCAACAAAATTATGTCAATCGTACAAACTTTTGGTCTTTAGTGCAAACTTTACACAATATCGAAAGAAAATATATATGGGAGCTATATCTAAATCTGTACCGATGTTCACGAAACTTAGCACACATCATTCTAGACTTAATGGAGTACGCTCTGCCAAATTTCGTGCAAATCCAAGGATATAAAGGTACTTTGGTGCACCATTTACATAAAATCGGATGAAACTATATTTGGGAGCTATATCTAAATCTGAACCGATTTTCACGAAACTTAGCACACATAACTCTAGACTTAATTCCGTACGCTCTGCCAAATTTCGTGCAAATCCAAGGATATATAGGGACGTTGGTGCACCATTTACATAAAATCGGACGAAACTAAATATGGGAGCTATTTCTAAGTCGGAACCGATTTTCACGAAACCTAGCACACTTCACTCTAGACTTAATTCCGTACGCTGTGCCAAATTTCGTGCTAATCGAAATATATATAGGGACTTTAGTACACCATTTACAGAAAATCGGACGAAACTATATATGGGAGCTATATCTAAATCTGAACCGATTTTCACGAAACTTAGCACACATCATTCTAGACTTAATGGAGTACGCTCTGCCAAATTTCGTGCAAATCCAAGGATATATTGGGACGTTGGTGCACCATTTACATAAAATCGGACGAAACTAAATATGGGAGCTATTTCTAAGTCTGAACCGATTTTCACAAAACTTACCACACATCATTCTAGTTCTATATTTCAAAATAATAGCTTTATTAAATCTGAATTTATTAAAACAAATCTTCTACTGTAAATTTTCAAATTTGAATGGTTACGTTTTTTTTTTTTTTTTTTGCGAATATGGCTCGATATGGTGAAGGGTATAATCATGGATCATATATAGCAACTCGCAATTCGTGCCTGCAAAAATTATTACATAGATAGATAGATAGGTAGATAGATAGATATATAGATAGATAGGTAGATAAATAGATAGAAAGATAGATACTACTAAATGATGATTAACTTTTTTCAAACATAGTGTTGAAAACATTTTGATTCATATAGCACCGTGAATTATTAATTCAAAAATAACTGTCGTATTGAATGAGTTAATCTTAACAAACATGATTGGTAACGCATAAATGTGACTGTTGGCAACACTGTTGAAAGACGGCAATAACAACATTCCTTTGGCAACTTCTCCAGAGTGACAGACAATTGAGCCTATGAAGTTTAATAGCCGCCGACGGGGAAACCGTATATATTGCTAAGGAAATTCCGTTTATGTATAGCTTCTTGGATTAACTTTAAACTGATATTTCTATCATCAGCTTTAGGACTGAAAGGTACATGCATTTCGAAATATTGATATGTTTCTTGGACCAAATCCGTTTCAGACAATTTGGAGTCGATTTACAAATTTCCATCCGTCTGTCGGGCTGATTTGTGCACACGTTATCTATCGAAGGGAGTAACCGATATCATTCAAAGTTTTGCACATCATAATATTTCTTCCAAACATTGTTCAAGGAATATCGGTCCACTCCTCCCCCACAAAATGTTCAAAATTGTGGTAAAAATTAGTTGTATAATATCATGCGGGCGGACTATCTGATTTGAACCAAACTGTGTACATCATATTATTTTAACTAAACCCCAAAAATGGTCAAAATGTTCAATATTTATAAATTCAATACCTGTTGCATGTACGTATGTCCGATATGGGCCAAATTTTGCACAACCTATTGATTTTACCATGCGAAAAAAATTTAACCAGGAAAAAGGTGCTCATTGGTCCCCTCCTGGTTCCTCCACAAGAAGTGATGATCATACCCTTCACCACACTGTGGTACAAGGTATTATGTCTTTGTGCATATGTTTGTAACAGGCAACAATAAACGAAATAGACACATGGTTCCTTTTGAGAATATACATAGAATCCCTTCCTAAATCGATTTATGCATGTCCGTCCGTCTGTCTGTTCATGTTAAATTGTAAACATTTTTAATCCGACTTGGCTGAAATTTGGTACAGCTCATTTATTTGGCCCAAGGACGAACCCTATTGAAATTGGGAAAAATCGATTTAGATTTAGATATAGCTCCCATAAATATTTCTGCACCAAAGTCCCTATATACCAAAGACCCAGAAAATCTTTCGATTTGCACGAATTTTGGCATAGCGTACTGAATTATGTCCAGAATGATGTGTGCCAAGTTTCGAGAAAATCGGTTCAGATTTAGATATAGTTCCCATATATAGTTTCGTCCGATTTAAGGTAAATGGGGCACCAAAGTCCCTCTATATCTTTCGATTTGCTTGAAATTTGGCACAGAGTACTGAATAAGGTCCAGAATGATGTGTGCCAAGTTTTGAGAAAATCGGTTCAGATTTAGATATAGCTCCCATATATAGTTTCGTCCGATTTAAAATAAATGATGCACCAAAGTCCCTGAAAATCTTTCGATTTGTACAAGTTTTGGCATATCGAACTGAAATAAGTCCAGAATGATGTGTGCCAAGTTTCGAGAAAATCGGTTCATATTTAGATATAGCTCCCATATATAGTTTCTTCCGATTTAAGGTAAATGGGGCACCAAAGTCCCTCTATATCTTTCGATTTGCTTGAAATTTGGCACAGTGTACTGAATTAGGTCCAGAATGATGTGCGCCAAGTTTCAAGAAAACCGGTTCAGATTTAGGTATAGCTCCCATAAATAGTTTCGTCCGATTTAAGGTAAATGGTGCACCAAAGTCCCTATATATCTTCCGATTTGTACGAAATTTGGCACAACGTACTGAATTGAGCCTAGAATGATGTCTGCCAAGTTTCTTGAAAATCGGCCCAGATTTAGACATAGCTTCCATATATAGTTTCGTCCGATTTCATGTAAATGGTGCACCAAAGTCCCTATATATCTTCCCATTTGCACGAAATTTGCCATCACGTATTGAATTGAGCCTAGAGCGATGTCTACCAAGTTTCGTGATAATCGGTTCAGATCTAGGTATATATTTTTTCGTCCAATTTAATTTAAATAATGTTCCAAAGTTCTTATGTTTCATAACGTACTGAATTTAGTGCAGAATTTTGTGTGCCAAGTTTCGTAAAAATCGGTTAAGATTTAGATATAGCTGATATGACGTAATTGACGCACCAAGAAACCAATATATGGCTGATAGGAACTAAACGTACCGAAATTAGTATAACTTAACCTGTGACATGTTTCGTTGAAATTGTTTCATATTTGGGTATAGCTTCCATATATATTTTCGTCCGATTTTAAGTAAATTGTACATCAAACTCCTCATGTTTGTCAGATTGACATCAAATTTTGCACAACGTACAAAATTGAGCCTATAATAATATGTTCGTATAAATTTTAAATTACAAAGAACTGACGGATTCGTTTAAATTTGAATTTAATTCGCATATGCATGTTTCGCATCAGGGCGGAATAAATACAAGTTATCAACATACGACCTTTGTAAAGCCACATAGCCCAATATGCCTGATGAGCCGCTTAACCAACGGCGAAACGCGTCGCATAATGGTGGGTACGTAGGTTCTCTTGCCTTTCCTTTTCATTGCAAAACTTAGATCATTAAGCTCGACTCGAAAGAGTATAAATAACCACTTAAAATTTATTCAACATAAATAAATCTACCATTATGCCAAGCACATTTATAGCATTTATTTGTTCTCATTTACTAAGAAAAGGCTAGAACCTTCATCGGCAATTTTTCCTTATCTGTCCACAAATTATGGCGTATAAAAATTTTAGCTTGAAAACACTTTTTTTACAGTACAAAATTCTAAACTCCTTGAGAACTTCTTACACAATTACCTATGAATTATTTTTTAGACAGAAGAAAATCGTCAGTTCCCTTAAGAACATTAAAATTCGATGTAAATATTTTAATTAATAACAAGCTTATTTAACATAATTATTCTAAATTAACACATTTATAAAAAATGTCATTTTAAACTAAATACGTTATTAAATTATGCTTAACATTCAGCCAATTTCCTCAATGCGACACGATCCGCCTTGCCACATGTTGTCAATGGCATTGTGTCGACAAAATGAATTTTTTCAATCATTGCCAATTGTCTCTCATTGAGATGGGGTTTAATGGTATCCCAAATTTTCGCAGACATTTCTTCATGGCTAGCAGTGACATTTGAATTGAGGACAACGAAAAAGGCTGCAACTTCATTGGGATCATTTGGTGTCTTGCGATAACCAGCAATGCGGGCCACATAGACCTCGGGTAAATTAATTACGATATATTCCAAAGTATTTGGCACAATCTGTAAATATTGAAAATTTTATTAAAGTTTTGGATTTGTTGTTAATTTTTCCAAAATCTTACCACTTCAGCATTGGATCTAATTAAATCCTTATATCTTCCCAATATATGTAGCTTTCCCTGCTCATCTATAAAACCGTAATCGCCATTAATGAAAAGTCCATACTCATTGTAATATATCGAATTGTCCAGGGACTTGTAACCCTTCATGGGATAAGGTGGCCTCACAGCAATTTGCCCCGGTTCATTAGCACCCAAGGGTTTTAATTGATCATCCAATATTTGCAATTCATAACCCGGTAATGGCTTGCCACCATTAATATGCAAATCATTACAGATCACGGTGCTAACCTCTGTCATGCCATAACAATGGAAATTCTTGGCATTGACGGCATGTTTTTTCGAGAGTTCTAACATGACTTTCGATGCCGGTTCTCCACCCATCAGTACACTACGGAGGCATTTTAGACTTTCCTTATCATTTTCATCCACTTGCAAGAGGATATCGTAGTAAATAGAGGGCACTGCAAATAGATGAGTAATGCCACAGCTACGAAGCACCTCAAAACCATAGTTTCCACTTGCCACACCACATGAGCTAACCCGTTTTACACCATACAAAACCGATTGTAACATCACAGCTACTTGACTAATCCATCGCAAGGGACTGAAAGAGAGTACCACAGAATTTTCATCCAGGGGTGCATAATGGTCTTCATTATCCCACCAAATAGTGATGCCATTCAGCATAAGAGCATGGGTAATTTGTACAACTTTTGGTAGACCTGTTGATCCGGATGTCAAGGCCAAGAGGGCAGTTTCTTCACGGGTGTCTTTGATTTCTGCACTTTTAAAGCTGTCAAAGTCTATAGGTTGTTCTGGTTGTTTCAGGAGATCACTTGTGATATTTGGTTGTTGTTCACCATTGATCGCTATTAGGTGTGGGTGCTTTTGAAGTTTAGAGTTTGCTAGACATTTTTGAATTTTCTTGAGGTATGTTTCTTCATAAAAAATTGCTGATGCTTCCAGCAGATCAAATAAATCAGACGTGGAGTCTGTAAGAAAAGGGAAGGAAATCAATTATTACTTAAAGTAAACCAGTAAGGAAAGGAGTAAAGTTGGACGGAGCCGACTATATGATACCCTTCACCACTTTGGGTATATGAATCCTAACAGACGCCGCATTTTAAAGGACCAGTAAAATGAAATAGGATCCATAAACATGTCATTCTGCAACAGATACTAAATTTTTCATTTGATCAGATAGAAGCTATATCTAAATCTGAACCGATTTCAGGAAACTTAACACACGCCATTCTAGACCTAATTCATTGCGCTGTGCCAAATTTCGTGCAAATCGAAAGATATTCAGGTACTTTGGTGCACCATTTACATTAAATCGGACAAAAATATATATGGGAGATATATCTAAATCTGAACCGATTTTCCGGAAATTTAACACACATCATTCTAGACCTAATTCATTAAGCTGTGGCAAATTTCGTGCAAATCGGGAGATATATAGGGACTTTGGTGCACCATTTACATGAAATCGGATGAAACTATATATGGGAGCTATATCTGAATTTTCACCGATTATCACGAAACTTGGCAGACATCATTGTGGGCTCAATTCAGAACGTTATGCCAAATTTCGTGCAAATCGAAAGATATATGTGGACTATGGTGCACCATTTACATTAAATCGGAGGAAAGTATATATGGGAGCTATATCTAAATCTGAACCGATTTTCTCTAAACTTGGTAGACATCACTCTAGGCTCAATTCAGTAGGTTATGCCAAATTTGGTGCAAATCGAAGGATATATAGGGACTTTGGTGCACCATTTACATGAAATCGGACGAAATTATATATGGGAGCTATATCTAAATCTGGACCGATTTTCTCTAAACTTGGCAGACATCACTCTAGGCTCAATTCAGTACGTTATGCCAAATTTGGTGCAAATCGAAGGATATATAGGGACTTTGGTGCACCATTTACATGAAATCGGACGAAACTATATATGGGAGCTATATCTAAATCTGGACCGATTTTCACGAAACTTGGCAGACGTCATTCTAGGCTCAATTCAGTACGTTGCACCAAATTTCATGCAAATCGACAGATATATAAGGTCTTTAGTGCACCATTTACCTTAAATTGAAATTGGAAACTATATATATATAAGCTATATCTAAATCTGGACCGATTTTCTCAAAACTTGGCACACATCATTCCAGGCCTAATTTAGTACGCTGTGCAAAATTTCGTGCAAATCGAAAGTTATTTAGGGACTTTGGTGCACCATTTACCTTAAATCGGACGAAAATATTTATGGGAGCTATATCTAAATCTGAACCGATTTTTCCCAATTTCAATAGGGTTCGTCCTTGGACCAAATGAATGAGCTGTGCCAAATTTCATCCAATTCGAATAATAAATGCGACCTGTACTTTGTTTACAATTTAACATGGACAGACGGACATGCGTGAAAGTGATTCTATGCATATTCTCAAAAGGAACCATTATTCTATCTCAAATCCTTTTGCCTGTTACAAACATATGCACAAAGACATAATACCCTGTACCACAGTGCGGTGAAGGGTATAAAGAGTCCTCAGTGGACTGAGGATTTTTTTTTATAGAAAAAAAGAGTCCTCAGCGGACTGAGGATTTTTTTCTACAGAAAAATGAGTCCTCAGCGGACTGAGGAATTTTTTCTATAGAAGAATGAGTCCTGAGGATTTTTCTCTATAGAAAAAATCCTCAGTGAACTGAGGAATATTTTTCTATAGAAAAAAGAGTCCTCAGTGAAATGAGGATTTTTTTTCTATTCCTCACTGAAGTGAGGAATTTTTTCTATAGACAAAAGAGTCCTCAGTGAAATGAGGACTTTTTTCTATAGAAAAAGGAGTCCTCATTTCACTGAGGACTCTTTTTTCTTTTTCTTTCTTTGGTACTTTCAAATACACTTACCCTCATCCAAATGCACCTCAAAATAGATCGGGGAGGCTCCAATTAAAAAGCAACCCATTGACAAGACGGCAACCCATTCATTATTCATTGCATAGAAAATGACAGAGTCTCCCTTCTTGACGCCCAAACGTTTCAAATTAACGGCAATTAATATCGATTCTTCGTACACATCTTTGGCCGTTTTAATTGTATTTGTATCATAGAAATGATCAATAATTTTATTTGGATCCACAGAACGCATTGTTTGCAAGAATTTTTCTCCAATTGATAATTTTGCAATATCGCCATATGGATAATTTACAGATTTCCATATTTTCGTTTGGGGATCTTGTACCACTTTAATATATTCTTCAGGCATTATTAATTTTTTTATTATTTCTTGTAACTTTCACAAATTATATTAGGCTATTCGTTAACACTTCCGCCGTCGAATGCTACCTTGTTGTGTATGTCAAGAATGTACTACCGATACTAATAGTAGTTGTCGGAATGTTCAGTGGTTATAAAGCCTTCGTGTGAATAGATTTGAATTGGTGGACGAGAAGAGAAGATATGGCGAAAACTGTTGATAGTTTTTCATTGGCGATCGTATTATTCTCGGGGACCAATAGCAGAATCATTGTTGTAGGTCTAATTAATGTACTACAAAATCAACGAGTGAGTTTTACTTTTTTGTAGAAATTATTATCAACAATGATAACGTTTAGATAGGGTGTTCCGATTGAGAATAATATTTTTTTGTTATTATATTTGAGTTTCGGACATTTCTAATGGGGTTCCCTGTGTCTAACATTGAAACTTTTAATCTGAGATGTAATCAATTATTACATTTTTGTGGGTATACACATTGGATCTTGCATTCTGATACCTTCCTTTTAGGGTTTTATAAAAAAAACGAAAATTAAATTATTATAATTCCCTTCATTCCATTGTTTGGTGCCTTTGACGTTGATATTAGGTAAATTTATACATCCAGTTATAACCGGATCTCCAATCCTAAGTACCATCATAATAAATCATATAATAATCTTAGATATTTTAAGAATATTTGTTAGAAGCCATCAAACAAAAACATAGCGTCTAGTACATGTTGTACTACTTTAGCTCGATTTTCGAAAATCGGCTTCTTAAATCAACACGACAGTGGCCCATATACCAAATTCGAAGACTCTAGCTTTATTCGTCCGCCAACATATATATAATGGCATCCTATCATAGTCATATGACACAACGTGAGATGGAACCATCCTTGGGCATTTCGTCTGAAAAGGTTTGATCCCGCACAATTTCGTGTCGATTAATGCAAAGACATTCTGAAAAAAATAGGAACACGAAAAAAAACAGCTATCGACTGTTGTGGGTCTTCGAAGAGACGAGCCAAATGCAACGCAAGTTTTCGTGGAAGAAACACTTTAAATTAAATGGTCGCCTGTGTCTCCGGCAGAACTATGTGGCGACTAATTTTCTAGAGCAACGTAGGACGATAATTTATGAGTTCACAATAATTCCTTTGCTTAAGTCTTTGCAGAAATTCGAAAATCGATCATTTAGGAGCTCTCACAAATCGACTCCCAACAATGCCTACTGGATCGCGAAATACGTGGAATTTATGAGTCCCCAGCCGTATAGCTCTGAATTTTCACATAAAGACTTATTTGTAATTCATAAAAATGCTTTGTCAACTATTTTTATCGGCACAAGATGCTGTCGAATCATTCAAAACCCACGTTTTGGAAATGTCTCAATCGGAGTCGAAAAGTGTCTCGATAATTTATTTTAACCACATTGAAAATTGAAAAAAATATAAACCATTATAAGTCAATTCAGAAACATATAGGAGCCCTGGTAAATATGAACATATAATCCTGCATTTTTATACCCTACACAACTATGTTGTCAGGATATTATAGCTTTGTGTAGCCGCAAGAGTTTATAATGCCGCGAAATATTGGTCCTATACCCGCCTGTTAGTATACCGATCGTCATATCTCGACTGGCTGAGTCGATCTAGACATGTGTGTTCGTCCGTCTATTAAAATTTGTAAACTCGATACAAATCACAGTTATGGACCAAACTTCGCGAAATTTTACTTGTAGCAACAGTTTCGGCCAGGAAAGACCCCTGTTATCCTCTAATATTTAGGGGATGAAATGTACCAAATGCTTAATTTTTTTCCATTTTCTGGTCGGTCCAAAGGCTACAATTATGACCCGAAAACCACGAAGCATTAAATAGGGAAGAGAATCAGAATAATCGTGTAAATATTTACAGGGGTTTACCGATGCTTCTATTTAGTATATTACCACACAAGATGACAAAAATGTAGCGCTGATGGCTTGAGGATGAAATGAACCGCAACATTACTTTTGTCTAGTTTCCTAATCGCACTAGATGCCAAAATTATAAGCCGACGATCAAACATTTTCCATGGGAAAAATGCCCCCGACCACTTAATTGGCATGAATTATCGGTTAATATTATGCGGGTGAACTGAACCGACATTTTTGCGTAGAAATCAAATTCGAACCTTAAATGTTCACTCTGGGAAGGCGTGATTCGGAAAAGATACCAAGGTAAGAATATGTAGATGTTGGCTTGTAGTTGGTTAAGAGTGTGCAAATATCGCCAAATGTTACCAAGACTCGGAATATAGATGCGCTAAAATTATAAGTTCAGTGGTTGTTGTGTAGGATATCATATGTCGGGGCCGTCCGACTATATTCCTGCGCTAACTGGCTTAAAAATCGGTTCTTCGATTTTGTTGTAGGTCCTAATAAAGACTTCTAGCTACTTTTGAGGATATATTTACATACAATCATTTGATGAGTCGTCGCATTTATTATCATTAATAATTTCAATCTTTTTGTTCCAGCCAAGTGAATGCTGTAGCCGGTCCTTTGTGATGAGGCTGCCACCTATCATTGCCTAGAAACAACGTCTCATTGAATTTTGTACAGTGGTACTTGTATGTATCAGTGTTGTCACTTCATCTAGGTAGCTCTAGCTATATTTTTCTTATACGTACAAAAGTGTTCGAAATTATTTGTTTTTCATTTTATTTGTACCCGGCCCTGCCCCCCGGTTTTCTTGTATTGCATATTCAGATTTAGAAAAGGGTGCTTTTTGTAAAATCGTCATTTTATTTTCAAATGACAAATTGGAAAGCTGATGCTCACGACAAAATGGAATATGAGAAATATGCGATGATGAGGGCTCAGGACTTTACATCGAGTATGAAAGATTTTTCGAGACATATAGAACATGTAACGGACAAACAAGCTTCAGATATATTGAAAGAACTAAAGTATAAAGTTAAAATGATCATTGAGACAAATTCATTGTGTAAACTTTCAGAGGCAAAATCAAACTTTAAATCTATAAAAAAGTAAAGTGATTGAAAAAAGTACTATATTGAAATCTTGAAAATTCAAAGTAACATTACTGTCGGAATGTAGGATTGAGATATGTACGTAATTTTGGAAATTTTTTACTTATGTGTACGAAATGTACAATTTGGATTTGGGTGAACCGATAGAGCTGGAACAATGACGTTTGGAGTTAGGACCATTGTAGGGATGTAGGATTAGGGTCAGGATTCAGTTTAACAAGTAAATACTTATGGGTACTAAATGGTACTAAATTTGGTACAATTTTATTTTAGGTGAACCAATGGAGCTGAATTATGAAATTTGGAGTCAGGATCACTGTTAAGGTATAAGATTGAAAAATGTAGGAAGTTTTAGAAATTTGAACTAATGTGCACTAAATTTGGTACAATTTAAATTGTGGGTGCAGCGATAGAGTTGAAATCATGAAATGTTGATATAGGATCACTGTGGAAGTGTAGGATTGGGGTATGTAGGAAATTTTGGAAATTGGTACTATTGTGTACTAAATTTTGTACAATTTGTATTGCAGGTGAACCGATAGTGTTGGAATCGTGAAACATGGATTTTGTATCACTGTGGGGGTGTTGGTTTGGGGTAAGAAGGGGGTTCTGGAAATTTGTACTAAATTTGGTAAAATTTGAATTGTGGGTTAACTGTCATCCTGAAACATAGATTTAAAAAGGAGGATCTGGAAATTCGTACTACTTTGTACTAAATTTGGTACAATTTGAATTGCTGTGGGAGTATAGGTTTGGGGTAGGAAGGAGGTTTTGGAAATAAGTATTACTGTGTGCTTAATTTGGTACAATTTTAATTGTGTGTGAACCGATAGACTTAGAATCCTAAAATTTGGATTTAGAATCACTGTGGAGGTGTAGGATTGGGGTATGTAGGAAGTTTTGGAAATTGGTACTACTATGTACTAAATTTTGTACAATTTGAATTGTGGGTGAACCGATAGTGTTGGAATCCTGAAACTTGGATATAGGATCACTGTGGAATTGTAGGATTGGGTATATAGGAAGTTTTGGAATTGGTACTACTGTGTACAAAATTTGGTACAATTTGAATTGTGGGTGAACCTATGAAATTGGAATCCTGAAATTTGAATTTGGAATCATTGTGGGGGTGTAAGATCGGGATATGCATGAAGTTTTGTTGGATGGTTGAACAGGGTATACTTATGGAAATAATGTGTGCTAAATGAAATAATGTGTGAATTGGTTTTTCTGACATATGCATAACATAATATGTTTATACATGTTTAAATATTTCCTTCATTCGCTAACGTAGTTGCGGGCATATGCTAGTGTTAAATAAATCAGACACAATTACATTTTTTACAATTCACCCTAAACACTTTTTTGTAGCACTTTAGGAGTACTGTCTGTGGTAAAAAGTTGAGGGTCTCCGGTTTTTATCTTTGGAGATAAAAGCCACCAAAGAGCAAATCAAAGAATGCTTCTTTTCTTATGTGGGCACAAATATTTAACGAATCTATAGAGAAAATAATAGAATCCTTGGAAGAAATAGGGGAAAATGGTAAGATTTAATTTGGATTTATTTCTAACAAGTACAAGTTTCAGTGCCAAGAAGGGTTGGTACGCAAAAGTACATGTCAAATGTAATGACCCATGTTTGGACGAACTAATTGTAAATGTGACAAGAAGATTCCGGGAAAATGAAAAAAAAAAAATAGTTAAAACATTATCGAGAATTATAAAAGTTTAATGTAAAGATTATAAAGAAATCATACAATTTTATATAAAATACCTGATAGTGGATCTATGGATCATTATGTAGAAAGCGAAATATCCCCGACCATCTAATCCACTTGGCGTGATTGTGATATGTGACGAAAATCTATTTCCAAATATAAAAATATTGCTAAAAATCTTAATAACGATACCGGTAATGACAGCATAACTGAAAGAAGTTTTTCTACCCCACTTCGAGTAAAAAATTACC